TTGTTACTGTCCGGCAGTACTGCCGATCCTGTGACCCCTGTCAGAGGAGGAAGAAGGCCCGGGACAAGGGAAAACGGCTTTAGGACCCTTGCCCAACATAGAGGAGCCTTTCCAGAGGGCGGCCAGGGTTAAAAGGGGGGCTCTGAACCAAGAGAGCCCGAATCACCGACCTCCAGACTGGAGCGCTGGGAGAAGACCCCAGCCCCGTTGGAACCCCAGGGGTATTGGGGTGGGAAAAGGGCACGGGCCGCATAAACGCTCCCCCATGCGAACGACGAGTGTCATCGAGCACCCCCGTCCTAAGGGGGGGCGTGAAACTGGAAGGGCCTGGTGTAATTCTCACCAAGGAATGGGAGGATGTTGGAGCATCCATGGGAACGGGGGTAGGTTCGAACTTCCCCGGGTCACTGGCTGCAGTGACCCTGCTCAGTTCGGTCTCGAAGGGGAGAGATGTGATGAACTGGGACTCTTCTTACTGTGATCTTTGAATGCTGACAGGGGAGTGTGGCTAGGACAGTCTGCATTGGGGGATGGGAGACTGGCCGAGGGAGAATACCTGAGCATGTAACATGAGAACCCAGGAAGGGGTTAGAGGCCAGGTGACACCTTTGCCCGGGAAACTAAACAAAGGCTAGAGGGAGAGTTCAGAGCTGGCTGGTGACATGGCTGGGAGGCAGACAGGGGTCTGACCTCCCAAGGGAGCTGTGGTGCCCTGGGACCCCAAGATGGACCTAACTGAGGGGGTCCTGTTGTCTGTGCCTGCAAGACCTGTCTTGGACTGTGTTCCTGTCGTCTAAATAAACCTTCTGCTTTACTGGCTGGCTGAGAGTCATAGTGAATCGCAGGAAGCCGGGGGGGCAGGGCCTTGTGTCCCCGCACACTGCGTGACACCAGAAATCCGGGTTAGAGCCAGAACTGGAATCCCGCGGTTCCCGCTGCCGTAATAGCAGGGAGGGGGTGAATTGCGGCGGGAATTAGTAGGAAAACTCTCGTGCCTCAGTTTACCTCTTGGGGAAATCGCTAATTGTTTTGTCAGAGCTTCTCTTTCCTCTCCGTGTTTGTCCTCCCGGCACTGCACCTGGTGCAGGACACCGGCTCCAGCCCAGGCAGAGACCTCCCCTCCCCCAGGTTTTGTTGTTCTGGGACGTCCTGGACGGACAGAGGAGCTAGCCGGCGGTGCAAACAGCAGCCATAATCCTGCCATAGACATAACTGGAACGGGCCGGCTCAAGGTGCCGAACACGGGGCTTATGCGGTTTAAAAAAATTCCCAGCTTCTTACAACAACTTACTTTTTACAGGCATTACAAATCCGGCACCTTTTAAGGCCAAATTGTGCAATTTGCTCTGGCGCTTGTTGCAAAGAGAATTTCAGCAAGTTTCGAATACAGGTTTGAATGATGATCTTGTACCAGGAGTTCCGGGGGTTTTTACCTGGCGGGAGCGGGGGGGGGGGGGGGGGGGAGGGAGGGACGGAAGCAGGATTAGTCGTCCCAGGCGAGCGGCTGGGAGTCGAGGCTGGACAAAGCCGCCTGGAAAGAAGGCCCCACCCCCCGGTTTGACCAGCAAGGGGGACGAACCGTGGGGACAAGGTGGCGGAGCCGCCGTCCCTGGCCATGTTTAAATCCAAGGGTTTCCCCTGGCTCTGCGCTGGTGCGAGCGGGAGGATGCAGGAGCTCAGACGGGAGGATCACAGGGCCGATGCAAGGCTGCGATAGGCACATTTCGGCACCCAAACACCTTTTGGTCTGGCCTGACGCCGCCACGCGGGTCCCTCGGAGGGACGCGGGGGGGGGGGGGGGAGGGGGGGGGTGACCCTTCCTGTCCCCCCCCCATCTCGGGGGCCCCCCGGGGGCGGGCCCGTCCGGGGGGTCTGTGCAGCGCCCAGCACAATGGGGGGGCCCCCAATCTCAGTCAGGGGGGTCCGTACAGTACCTGGCACCATGG